TGTACTTGCAAGAGTAGTTTGACTTCATATCTCAAGCAGAATCCTTTTAACTCTTTTATTGAAAGTATGGAACAAAGGCATTTTGTAGTTTTTTTCATAAAGGAAATAAGCTAAAGTAAATGAATCCCTTAATGTCAGGGATTAATTTAACAGAGTCCTCCAACCAGCAATGGAATAGTTGCTAACTACAGTTATTGCTGGCTAGAGGCTAACTTCATTTAGTGACCTTTTTCATATATACTTTCAGCTTGTATAGATGTTTCTTGTTAGTGGCTGGATCCATCTAGGGAAATTTTATCTTCTAGTATTAATTACTGAAACAAAACCCATTGGGGATTATAACACAGTCTTGTTATGCCAAATTCTGTCCACAGTGTAGTGAGAACCTATACAGCAATTTTATTTGTGTAAATAAATCCAAGGACTAGGTGTGCTTCATTTTAACAATGACTTAGCAATTCTCTTATAAAGAATACTAATAATACACTATTTTGTAACTGAACTATAGTCTAGTTTGTCATCAGTTGATTTCCAGTGCAGTGAAGCTGACTGGTCCTGTGACAGATGATACATCTGTAACAATACCCTCATGGACAATAGAGTTGACTGAATTATATTTTTCATAATGCAAAACTTATGTATGTGAGTTTAAATTTTAGTGGAAGACTGTGTATTACCAGAATGGAAGAAGTTAAATCTTTTTTTCAAGAATCTGTATTAAGCTTAGAGATATTAAATTAAGAGATAGTACATCTTTCCTGATGTATTTTAATTCTATGCAGTTCTGTTTTAGAAGGATTTTTCATCTGAACTTCATTCAATGATTAGTTTATGGATTAAAGCATTGGGATTAAGATACTCTAATACTCTCTTTTCTTAATATCTTACATCTGCACTAAATTCTATATTTTACATTCAAATTCCCTGTCAAAGAATTATACCAATGTTACTGTTGTTTTCTATATAAAAGTACATTGACATCTCTAACTTACGGCAGTTTACCAGTGAAAAATGAACTTGGTGGCTTTATCAGTGTGATTATGGATGAATATCCATGATTATTCATCTCTTTGATTAAGGGCTTTAGCAGTGGAAAAAACATACGTGATAGTGTATTTCAGGTTTTTTTTTTCATCTGTGGATAATCTAAGCCAGATCTTTCTGATGCTCTGTTTTAGGTTGAAGACTGTATCCTCCCACCACTGGTTTCTTTGGTCCACAGTCAGAATGGTAAGTATATGGGTGCATCAGCTACAGTTTCCATGAATTCCACATTTTGTTGTAATTATGCTTCAGTGTGGTCACATTCTTGGCACCTTTATTTTCAAGTGGAATGGAGACTCTTCAGCTTGCGGTTGCTCTCAGAAACCACATCACTGCTTTTAAGCCACGAGGTCATGGCTGAGGAGAAAGGGGAGAGCCTCGACTCAAACAGCAAGCTTCTGTCTCTCATTAGAGATTTATTGCTGCCTCAGTAAGTATAATATTGCTCCTGTAATGGGGAATAACTTGATACTCAATCCATTTTGACAACATTTTTGTTTTAACTATCCTTTTTATGTTTAAATGGCAAAGAAAAAAGAGGAACAGCAATTAACTGCTGCCAGAGTTCTCTGCCCAGCATGTCCGCCTAGGTTTATTTAGTGTTTTGTCATATACAACACAAACACAACTTCTGTGTGACGTTCATTTCTGATACTGTGCCTCTGGCTGCTCTTGGAGCAAAGCAAGATTTCCCCCTAGCTTTTGGGCTGTAATTTAAATACTACTATTTCTTCTGCCAATAAAGTTAGAACAGTCTAACTGCAACATCTTTTTGTCTATTTTGGATATTGTGCCTTCATGTAAGATGTTCTGCTATCATATGGAACAGCATGTAACTTTTTAAAAGGGATAGTGCATCAGGTTCACCCAGATGTGACCACTTACGAGGTCTGTGGTCAAATGAGGCCTCTCATTTCATACTGACTTACAGGTGTGAATAAAGACAGCTTTCTGTATTATGCATATGCTGACTGTGACCTGGTAACATCTGTGTGTAGGGGGAAAGAAAGCATGAACACAGGATGAGTACAGTAGTAATGAGTCATCATTCAAATTTTACATTATTCTAATAACAGTACAGTGTATTTTCATGTGCGATCCTCAAAAGTGATGAATACTTAAGTGCCCTAAGTGAGAAACTTGTTCCCCACCCCTGCATCCCATAAATGCAAGAAGGCTGGAAGAATGGATGCTGGATTTTGATTAGAAGCACAGTGCCTTCTCCAAATATGAGACTGTCTCTTGCTAATTGAATAATGCTCTTACAGTGTGAGGACCGAAGTTTTATCCATGCGAGATATGTAAACTTTTCTCTATGACAGAGAATTGGAAGGACATCTTAAGAGTTCTAGAGAGAAACTTTCACACCTTTGTTCACATTTTTGTCCTGTGGGAAATACAGAATGTATCAGTACAAATTAAAATGGCAGCTGGAAACATTACTTTTAAAATAGAGTACATGCACTACTAAAAGCTGTCAGGTAATTTTCTTCAAACAGGGGAAGAGACCTGTAGTCAAGGGAGACAGTTTCCTTGCTCTGAAACTTGCCCTTGTCCATCTTGTTCTTGAAACATGTCCATCTTATAGGATGTTTCTCACTGAGCTGGAGGATGTGTGTTTGGAGGGGTGTGCCATGTTAATTACAATTAGAAGGAAGACAGCCAGTATATCACTTTCTCTGAGCTCATTAGCTCAGTTGTGTGGCAGGGCTTTTTGGTCTGAAATTAAATATGATCTTATGTTGGGGACCGAACCTGTGCTATCTGAAAAAGGGTCTTGCAGCAGCTCAGGATCTTGGTTCTAGGCTTTAAGATTCAGTGTAAGCTACTTGTAAAGATAATGTAGAGCTCTATCCCGGGAAATATGGGTTACTTGAAAACTGAGAACATTTGGAGGCTGAAGAGGTGTTTGCTGATGTTTAGTTTTTCTGTTGCTGGGTAAAGGATGGGACAGAGTAGGACTCAGCTGGAAGACAGTCAAAAAAGGGGAGGTATGTGATGGTTGTTTGTTCATGGGCAGTCTGTGTGGGAAAGTGGATATTTCAACCCCCCTTGAGTCTACTGAGAACCGAGAGCTATTGAACATGGAAGGGAAGGACATCTGGGTTTAATATGTGATTTTTTTTTTTTACTCAGTCTTATAATGATACACATTTTTATATAGATTTCATTCCTATAAATATCTTCCTCAAATTAATTTGTTTAAATGTTAAACTGACACTCGAAATAGAATGTGGGTCACTGTGCATGAAATATAAATGGACTTGGTTTTGAGATAAATGCAGGAGTGCAGTGATTACCACTTTGTTCTTATCTTCTGCATCATCGATAAAATGGTAATTCCATTAAATATTTCTGCAATTATAGATCAGAAAGTTAGCTTCCTCATCGGGTTTTGAATGAATTGAATTAAATAATGTCATAAAATTTCAGTTTACTGTACTGAAAGGTCATTCCCCTGAGTGTTTCATAACCGAAATGAAACGTGCAGCTATAGACAATGAATACATGGCAAAAACTTTATATCCAGTTCTTTTTTATTTTAATTATTGATATTTCTAATTATATATCATTTGAAAATTGAGCCAGAACCAGCAAAATAGAGGAATGAGTAAATAAAGTTTATTTCATTTGAAAGATTATAGCTTGTTCTTAGTAGACTGCCAATCCACTTCTCCAAGTACAAAGTCCAAGAGACTTGACATAATGTTCACTCGTTTTTAAGACCTTAGGAGGGTCCATATCTCTAAATCTTTAGGTCTTTTTGTCATAATTGTTTAGAGAAAAGGTTGACAAAGTAACTGCTTAGTTAGTTACTGAGTGTAGTACCTGGAGTTTACAAAATCCTTAATGAAATCTCCTCTACTGTTACTAAACTGGTTTGTGTTTTGAAGTGGCAGTGCAATAATTTGATGACTCATTCATTTAATAAAGTATCTCAAGCACAGAGTATTTTCCCTTCAGAGAAGATTCATAATATTCAAAGCTCCTAATGGCCTTTAGTGAGGCAATGTGTTCGTATTAATTGCTAAGACATTGACTCTATAATCTGTGTCTGAGTCACCTGATAGCATCTTTGCTTGTCTTGAAAGATTTAGTCATGGACTCTGCAAAAAAAATTGCAAATAGTCCCATTATGTTTCATAGGAATAT